CAGAAATAGGCCATGATGCAGAACCACTTGGGACCGTCAGATTAATTTTCCTGGACCGAGCCAGCCGGGAAAAAACCCTCGCGCCGACGGACGCAGTAGTGAGGGAAAAAACCGGGTGTATAACCCCAATGGCGATTTGGCATCATGTAGGCATGGCAAGCACATATTGGCAAGAGATAAAGAACACGCCCGATGCCGTATATGCAACCGAAACATGTTGAGCGAGAAATACAACGTCATGTGTGCGCCAGAAACGTGAGTTGAGGTAACGGGTGGGAGGTTGGGAAGGAAATTGTGTGGGAACAAATGTTCCGCAAGTTACATGCTCCAGAGTCAAAACAGCAATGACAGTGCAAGAGACACGACTAGCGCATGCGCACGGGTCGGACCAGCTTCCGGGGCTGAAAGATGCATGATCAAGCGATGCCCACCCGATTTATTTGGCATGACACCAAGACATGCCCTCTTGCCCCAGGTGAGCATCCACAACATCAGGGTAGTCAAAAGCTGATCTAAGATTCTTGCTGAGGGTAGAATGCTTAACACCCTTAGGACGTGATGCTGGTCTACCAACAGTTTGTTCAGGTAGTGTGTGCGTTGCATGCCTACAATGATGGACAACACTGCCCACGCTTCGGCCCAGGCCACTGTCTATACTCGACTCTCGCTGTTTCTGCTATGCTGGGGCCAGCACTACTGACCCATCCGAGTCGTTCTCGAGCCTGAAAAGTTTGGCTGAGGGTTCAGCGGGCACTGCTGAGGGGCGCAGGAGCCTGAGGAGGAGTGCTAAATCTACGAACTCCCCTCGCAGCACTTTCTCCACCACTCTCGGCCACATGTGCAACACACAGGGGACGGGTGTGGGCATGTGGTGGAGATGCATGTACAGGCACGTCAGAGTCAAGCCTACCTCAGTAGTACCTGCCGAGTTCAGGTCTTGTGCGCAGGCGATATCAGCATCCGGCTCGCCAGAGTCGTCCCCGGAAATGGCTTCTCGGATGGAGGAGCGGATTAGCTCGCGGATCTCCTGGTGCTGCTGTTTGAAAACGACTCATGATAGGCTAGCTAGAAAATTCGCACAACACTGCTGATATTGCAAGCCAAGGTGCTCAAACAAATTTGTTTGCATAGAAAGGTCTCGCTGCTGTTCTCTGCCAGCAAGGCTGCGAGTCCCACGCTGGCGCATGTGCCATTTTCCCACGCTTGGGGACGATGTACGATGACAGCCGGCGTTGCGGACTGCCTGCGAGGCGCTGGCCGCGAGTGCTTCTGTGGCATGATAACTTTGGTTTGCCCGTTGCAAACCTACATTTATACACTGCCAGTGGCAGACCAGAGTTGAAAGACCGTGTGATCCAAGAATACCATGCCGACCGTTGTGGCTGTTAATGATGTGAGAGACTTCATCATTAGAACACAGGCTTTAATATGACATCTCCTTCATAACACCAATGTGTGGCATCATCCAGATGAACAGCTGCAGGAGACACTGCTGAGTTGTGAACATGTGCGCGTTGAGATGGCTGCACAAGTACATGTATGCCATTTGCACAGAGGGTTGTTCCTTCTCCCAACAATGTTTCTTCGCACAGATCATTGTTATTCCACAAAAATTAGTAGGTACCGCCGATCACGACTCCCATGGGAAGAGACGCTGCAGTTGCTTGCTGATTATTGGCTTGGCATCCACGCAACGCAGTTTTGAGCTCGAAACCTGTATGAATCCAGCACCGTGGCCAAGGTGGTTCGCAATACTGATAGTATACAGTTTTGAACTTTGAAACATATAGTGCAAAGCAACACTGGCGGCAAGAGTAATGTGCTTCGGGGGCTGTACTGCAGTACAGCCGCACATGATAAACTCTTCCCCAAGCGAGCAGATCTGGCGGCGCAACTTTGGACTAGCTTGACACATTGTCATCTGTCTCTGTTGCCTGAGTTGCATCGCCGATTGTAAAGTGCTTAATCCTCCTCTATACCCTCCTCCCCTCATCGTGATGGCTGGCGAGTTGATGAAAAGGCGAAGAAAGTGTTTAGAAATGAGTTACAATGCATCGTTGCATAGACGCACTCAGTTTCAATAGTCGTATCGGCCTAACGAAGATGGTTTCATCCTCAAAGCAGTCAAGCCCATACTGAGGCATTTGTTGCAGTACACCGTTCCAGCGTTGAAGCTCTCGTACAGATTGCGATAATTGTTATACTGCGTATGATGAGACGAGAGATCGGCCAATGGCAACTTGGATATTTCGTCTTTTCTCATATTTGCTGCTTGTAAGAACTTGGCAGAAGCATGTATTCATAATTGCTTGTTGATCGGACTGCGTTCTTCCGGTATGATTGCTGCCGTTTGACCTTTCCCCAAAACGTGTAGCTCTTCGTGCTCGGAGCTAACATTACGACGGGAGCAGCTAGAGAAGAGCGTGTACGGGGGCGACGCGAAAGCTTCCATTTCCAGGCCAAACATCACTTCCACAAGGCTCCCTGCACTCAGCTTAATTATCTACAGACAGCTTCGTTTGTTCCAATTTCACGCACTTTTCCACATCAGTATCTGGGTGAAGGGCTCCACCTCCTCATCACGACGCTTTATTGCAGCTTGACCACAGACTTCCAACGATGCACTTCAAATTATAATAATTTAAATACACTAGTCAGAACAACAGATTGCTTGATCAGTCACAACTTAAAGTTTCATGCCATCTCAGGCACTCATCAGGTGATATGAACATCAAGAAAAATAACCCACTATTTAAAGCCCAGTATGGCGGGACAAGGATAACAGAAAGCGCTAGGGGCGCTATCAACTCATATCCGATTCAGTGTCATAGCCAGTAAGGATCGAAGTACTAAGAAAGGACTAGGTGATAGAGGTGATAAAACCGAGCTGGCACAGCTAGTGAGATGCGCGGTGCAAAGATGATGATGGTGACAAGGCGGCAGAGAGCTATCAACTGGCCCTACTGCCTGGAAGCAGGGTGCCGAGAAGATAATGTTATCGGTGCTGATAGCATGAATTTATTTTTATGTCGACATTTAGATATCAACTCCGACCGCTTGTTGAGGCTCGATCTCCTGTCGGCAGTGATTATTCTCGCCTTCTCCTCGAGGCACAGGCTGCATCTTTTCGTTATGTTGCTGTAGGCCTTCGCCTTCTGAACCACTCGCCACTTGATGTCGTGCGTCTTGCCATTATCTTTCAATTCCCACACATGCTTTGAGAGGCCCGTGGATTTGCGGTATCCAGGAAGCTTGATGGATGTCTTGTGGTTCCCGTATCGAAGCTTGAATGGAGGCTCCGTACTGCCAATGTAGCCCTTGGGCTCATCGCTGTGGCCATCACTCGACACCTCCGCCGCGTAGACTATGCTGGATGCTTGGCACGCTCCGTTGAGAGGGCACTGGTCCTTGCGACGGCAGTTGCACGGCTTGTCCGGTTCCTGGACGCACAATTGACGCTTACTGTGGCCACTGATAATGTGGGCCATATTCGGCAAACAGGAGTAGCTCACCTTCACGTTGAAGCGGTTGAAGATTTTGTTCATTTTGGACCCCTTAGGAAAATGCTTGTCGATCAGCCGCAGGAAGGTGCCGGCGATGTTGGTCCGGACAGTCTTGGAGTATGGCGGGTTAAACCTCACCACATTCCGTTTCCTTTTTTGCTTGCTGCCGTTCATTGCAGCAGGTGGCGTTGGGTCAATCAATGTACTTGATGTTGGCAGGTAATCCGCTGGCCGCTAATGCATTGCGATATGTAGGGGCAGCATCGGCGAATACGCCGCTGTCGGCAGATATGCTTGAGACACGTCGAGCGATCATAATAATTTAAATAAATATTACCTCAAGCGGTACAGCCAGGGAGTAGCCCAGTGCCGGCCAACTAACTTACTTGTCAGAGCTGCACAGCATGCATCCTTTGGAATAATGGAAAAACGGAAAGCAGGGTGACCTGTACTGTCGTCAGTGTCGGTACCCAGTGTCGCCATGAAAACGCGATCATTTCGCAAACCTCGATCGGACAGCTAGCTACTAGCTGCGAGTGAGATACGTGCGTGCACGGATGCACAACACTTGAAACACTTTTCAAACAGTGCACCCAACACTCCATGCCGGCAAGCGTGCACTGTGCGGAACATCGACATAATGCAGGAGTGCATGCACTTACACCCACCTATGCCATGGCCATGGGCATGGCTACATACATCAGTACATGACTGTACAAGATTGTACAGTCATGTACTGATGTATGTCTATGATGTACAATGTACATGCATGAATGCCTACAAAACAATGGTCGCCGAGAGAGAAATTCTCCACATGGAAAAGCAGCTCTTTGGACACCTTTCAGAAAGATTAGTAATAGTTGTCAGAGTGACAACAACCGGAATCCTGGTCAGTAAGGTTTCTAGAGTAGACAGACGTGGCCAATAAAATCGCGGTGCCCCCAAAAGTCGGAACGAGATTTTTCTAGGAGGCCTTTTTCAGGTTTGGCCAACGGGCTATACAATCAGTCATGTAATTGATTGTAGCGAGCATCAGTCCCGACCTGTCGGTGTGAGAGTAATGCTGCTCGGATAGCCACTGTGTGACCCGGGCCATCTTGATGGACAGAGCAAGAGACCTACCCCGTCCACCATGGACCACGGAGCTTTGGACGCCAACTCAGTCTGAGAGAGAAACCATGAATCCTCCTTTAGAGGCAAGCCTTAGGTTTTTTTCCCCATTTCCAATTCCCTCAACCCGATGAATACTTTTTATACAGCAACAAGGAGAACTAGTTGCGCTGCAAGCATTTCCTCTACTTGTACATGTACATTCAACATGCAGGAGCATAATGTGAAATACAGCGAAACTAATACTTTCATCATTATCTTTTAATCACAGTGCACTCAGGCATAAGTACATGTACACTGACACTGGCATAATGTTGTTGCTGTTGGTGAAGTGTATTTATTATCATGTCGCTCGGCTGAAAGACGATTTTGCCTCTTTTGATACAGTCATGTGAACGGCAGGCAGAGTGGGAGAGACAGAGACACGCCGATGATGTCAGGCGTTGGCATGCCGCCTGGTTTGAGAGACAGAGACTCTATGATATGAGGCGGAGGGACGTCATGTACCCAGCTGTAAGTGACTTTTTTTTTTTAATTCAATGCCATCACTCATGAGCTGACAAAATAAAAAGACCCTCTAACTAAACATGTGTCTAAGACCATGCTGTAAAAGGTTCCAATGTTTGCCAAGGAAATTACGGATAGCGGTATACACACGACACAGAGCACCACGCATCATTCGTTGTGACTGATACTAGTTATAGTTTCATGCCCATCGGCAATAATCCGACAGCAACAGGGGAAATGTATAATAATGGACTCGGATGGAAAGCCAAGGATTAATTTGGAAGTTGGAAGGCTGTTGGAGTGCGCATATCAGACTTGCTAGAGCTAATTGGCAGTTAGTTGTAGGACGTCAGTACCGTCGGTCAGTATCGCATGAGCTGATTGTCAAGTAACTGGTGGTATTAATGGACATTACAGCGTAACGTGTAGTTCCTTGGTCCTTTTCTTTGCTATAGAAAACTATGCTACGAGTTATGATACATGAACTTATTATTTTTAAATGTTATTCCTCTAATCCTGCACTCCTTTCCACCATGCGCCCGTCATCCGACCACTGTATGTAGCTATAACTTACCCTCGGTAGCCAATACATACCATAAATATTCCAACAATGAACGGTTACGGGTACTGATTCTGGAATTCCTCCTGACAGCTGATTCGCCCATGTCCGCCTTCGCACAAAAAAAAAAGAAACGGTAGAGAGCATACAAGCATGGCCATGTAGCCAGTTCAGAAATAGCGGAGATCTGATCACGCTAACTATTACTGGTACCTGTGGATTGTTTAAAAACAAATAGAGTACACTTGCTCCAACGAATCTCCTCTTTAAGTTAATATAACCTTTATTTCAGAACTTAGAAGTTGCGACTTCGGTGGTAATAGTCATGAAGTTGATTGTTCCAACTAGGAACACACGCTTCTTGCCGAACTTGACACTTAGTATTTATTTTAGTATTTATTCATATTAAGGGCAGTCCCCACAGACCTATGGTCTCCTTACAGGGTACCCTAGCCAATCTAGGATTGCGATACGAAATTGATTTGGTGAAGCAGCAAGGCGGACCGATGCCGGAACTGAGTTCCAGCGGTCAGCGGCTAAATAAGAAAGAGAGGAATAACCAAATTGAGAGGAGGCTCGTGGCAGTACAAATCCAAGCGAGACTTGAGACCTTGTGCAGGTGCGGCTACGTACCTCAGAATTGGCACGAAGGCAGAAAAGGCGGCACAGAAGTGAATGAACGCACCTGAATACAGGAAGATACAGTTTACGGGAGAAACGGATAGTGATGGCTGTACACTTGACTGATTGACGGCTGCCATCCGGAGCACACGAGGAGCACGTCGCACCTTCCACTCGGCAAACCTGCAAGAAAGCATTTCAGGATTAGCAAAGGCTGACGCCTATCGAGGGGATCTCCTATTTGTGTGTACAATGAACATTGGTATTGGGAAAAGAGAAAGCGTCCAAAGTGAGTTCGGAAAAGATAGATCGTTCAGAAAGTGGTGGACATCACAGCAACTGCACTGTAAATAAAAGGGGGGCTTTTCAACTGACAACCGCTCTATTTATATGTACATGTACAATGTAGTTGCTATTCACTCTTGCCACATGCGCTGCAGTGGCGTACCCAGGCGGGAGGGGGTGGGGGTGCTTTGGGTGCTGAAGCACTCCCCTCAAAACTTTCGACATATATGTACATGTAGGCCAACTAACTTGATGTACCCATGCCGCTAAAAGTACCACAACTTTACAACCGATTGTCCGATTCACGCAAATGACCGCCCATTGGAAAGGTCTTGCGTGACGCTATACATTGAGATGTGATTGAATTTGATATTTAGTAAACTTCATTGTGAAATGGAGATGTTCATAAATCAGACACTTTTGAACGCGACTTTTCGTGGCACAATTATCAGATCTTTCTAACGGATGTTTTGCTTTCCACTCGCTGTCGTCACTAGGTGATCATAGCTCACCATGTTACATGTACTTTCATGTGGCAGGACAGAGGGTTATCCATATTGTCAGGGGTCTCGACTTATTCTATTCCGATTTTCCGGAAACGCTCCTCCGATCAGTTGTTCTGACAAACCAACTGAAAACGATTGTTCACGAAAGTGTAATAATCTGTTGTTTCGGGCCCTTGAAATCCTAAAAATGCTATGGCTTCTAAAGGGTAGCTGCCCCCTTGCCATCCTGACATTGAACACCTCAGACAATGCTTCTGATTTCTACCAACAGAAATGTGGCAGCCCTCTGCTAGTATCCTGTTTGTGAAGCTACCACCATCCATTGCACTTGCTTCCTCTATTACCTGATTCTATTTCTCCATACCAGAAGCAAGTGTATAAAAACTCCTGGGAGCTTTTTCTGTGACTCCTGCCAGAAGTTGTTATGGTACCTTTGCCTTCTCGCCCCATTCAATATGTGAAGTATTGTAAGTTGTTCTCGTACTTCAAAGTACATTAGTCAAATTGAAAATGGTTTCGTGATAATTATGATCTAGCAAGAGTAGTGTACTCTTGGACCTAGCTTACAGAGGAAGTACATTTTGTCCTCCAAATGGAGGGGTATATTTGGGATTGGGTACTTCAAGGCCTCGTGGTTGCTCCATTCTACAGAAAAGTTCCTACATTTTCCCTCGACTTTGTAAATCATGGTAAATGCTTGAATCACGGTTAAATGGCGCAATAAAAGCAAACATCAAGATATCAACCATCCATGTATCAAACGCACAGAAATAATGCATTATCTTTGGGGAAATTTTGGAGCACCCCCCCCCCCCCCCTCATTCCGGATCCTGCGTACGCCCCTGCGCTGGATGAAAATTCTTTTATTAGAGATGTCGAAAAAGAGTATTGACGTTTCGGGTCAGTCAGCCACCGTCACGTCAGAACGGATAAAAGATGAAAAGATAGATGTTGTCCAAAAGAACATTGAAAGAACAAGCACTGCTTTTTTGAACTAAGAAGTGTGCTCCAGATGGCAATTGGTAGTCAGTCAAATGTCAACTAACAACGGTTAGTTAGTACAATAGTAATAATTATTATTATTATTACTGTGTAGTGTGATGTACTACTAGTACTAGTAATTCGGCGGGAAGCCTGTGTTCCACGTGGGAGCCACCAACGTCATTGCATCTCCACACGATGCGCAAATCAACAGCCTTCCAACGGCAACGGTGAACTGAAGGGTAGGCCTAAGGCTAGGCTAAGGGCCACTGGCGAAGCCATGGTACTGCGTGACCAGAATGTGCCACATTTGGCACAGCACGCACGAATTCTACTGACAGTGACATTTGACGACGTGACATTTGGTTTTATCACGCCGTCTGGGACGCGCTGCCTGCTCAACGTTTGTTCGATCAACAGCTTTCCATCCGTCTTGCATGGTCATCGAATAACATGGTCCTTGATGACGCTGAGTCACAGTGAGTGACGTGAGAGCGAGGAACGACGACGTTGCGTTACTAGTACGTGAAACGCGAACACAATCCAAACCTTTTAATTAGAAAGCCTCCTGAGTAGATGGGAGTGACGGTGTGTCATGGTCTTACGTCCGTCATACGATAGTACACAAAGTGTCTGAAGTCCTTGGACCTTGATGCAAATAGTGCTCAGTACCTTAACAAGGGCAGAGGGTACTGCACGAGGCAGAACAACTGTGGTACAAGCGTTGTACAATCGTATGACGGAAGACCATGACACAGCACGTTCATCTACTCAGGAGGCTTTTTAATTAATAGGTACTACCGTAGTTACCGGTTTATCGAAGATAGGCTGCAACCGGTGGATGGGTGTACTTATCGTTACAGACGTTAGATTGACAGCATGAAACAAGGTGGAGGACACTGTGTTCGGAAACAGTGGCCTTATTACAACCTTCCGCGGTTGGCAGAGCCCCCGGTCCCTGCGGACCATTTGAACCATTATGGTTTTACTTGTACTTGTAGTAAGGTCACTGTGTCCTCCACCTTGTTTCATGCTGTCAAACCAACAACATGATTGTGAAGAGTGGACGTACAATGTAGATGCGCGAACATGGGATATCATCACTCATGTGAGACATGAACCGAGTCAACCGACTGCGTGAGTGCCGACTGAACGACTTACATGTACATGCGTCATTGTACGTGCGTCATTTTTCATAGTGATGTCATCGCTTTCAGGGCCCCCAAAAAGGGGAAGGGTCTGAAAGAATGGTACATGCAACAAGCATGACTTGAACCAGGGCGCTTCGCTTTCGACTCCAGAGTCCAGGACTGGTGCTAAACGCTACACTGTACTGACTCTGTGTACAATAGTAATGTATGAAGCACATCTGTATTTCTCGCAATGGTTGGCTATCACCCACTCTCTTCACATTAGCCAGTGTCTCCACAGAGTCTTGAGATGTTGTGATATTACATTATTAGACTGGGGCTCTACCAACCGTGGACGGTTGTAGAAAGGTCACTGTTTCCGAACACGGTGTCCTCGACCAAGCTGTCAACCAACAAGACTTATTTAGTACAGTCTGAGTCATAATTATACATGTACATGTAATTATTTGTAGTGCATGTAAAACAAACCTGTCAAGGCGACCACCCTGATAAGGCAATCGCATGTCCTAGACTAGAGAGCACAACTTTGAACGCGACAAAGGGATGTTCTTTTCACTTTTTCAGTCGAATGCCTCTGGATGAGGCGACCACATATCCCAGAGCTGAAGACCACAACAACGAGGACCAAGGGATGATGATGATATCGCCAGTCAAATGACCCTGGAAAAGAAGACCACCTGTTCACAGGGACCGCATTTTGAAGGCCCCCAGAGCGGTCGGCTTTAGACTAGGTTCATTGTGCTGATAATCAAAAGGGAGAAAAGCCTATACATGTACCGTAAAGTACCGCCAGAGCGCCCCACCATCTCGTCCTTTCGTGGTCGCCTTGTGGAGGTGTATTCCTGTCTGTAGGTCATACGACACGGACCTTGTACAAACATTGCACATTGTGCAGTC